TCTATCTTGCACACATGCATGCTTGGTATTTCCTAAATAATCTTGGCAGCTGCATATTTACTAAACAAAAGATAAAAGGTAAAATATTACTCTCACCGGTAGAAGGAAAAGTATTTAGCAATGCTGGTATCTAGTGTACCTGTACCAGTATCAACATATTTGTTCACATGTCCTCATTTGCCCCCAGCTATCCCTTTGTCACCTTGAAATCTTTTGCCAAAATAAAACAAATTACATTTTTGGGATGATCCTAAAATTGATCAGCAGGTGACTGTCTGGGTACAACTTTGCAGATGACATTTAGGGAATAGTCGGTCCTTTCTCTGCTCAATTGCATTGGTTAAATCATAAACACATAATGTTAACATGTCAAAAGGTTGCTGTTTTTTCAGTGTGAATTAGTGTTTACAGTTTCTGGCACTCTACAGCCCTCCTTGGACATCTTCAGCTGACAGAAGTCATTTATGTGGCTTTGGCATCCTGCTGCTAATTCATTTTTGTTGTTTTGTAGTCATTTTTTCCAGCAGGGAGCTTTGCAGATCAAAAACTGGCATGACATTTTTCAGATAACACATTTTAATGACCTACTTGCAAATTCCTTCTCATTCCGAATATTCTGACTGATACTGCCTTTGCAGAAATAATGTTCTTGAGATCAGTTTGTCCTGACTCTAAAACTTCTACATACTCCCTAATAATTTATAATGATGTTAATGGCTTATAAAGCAGAATGTCTCTGAGGTGACCTTTTCTGCTTTGTCCTGTAATTCTTTTCTTCAGGAAAGATGAACAGTTTTGCTAATTGATTATTTTAGTAGAGATCTATAATTGTCTTCTGTTGTAGTCAGCTCTACCAATAAACTCTTCTTAATAAACAAGATGGACCTTATCTGTTCTAAAACAGCTCTGGATAAGCTAGATGCCTGTTCTTTAGCACAAGCGTGATGTGGCTCTGAGTGTTTGATTCTGATAATTTGCTGTGAGTTTTTGTGTAAGAGGGTGTTTTACAAGCAAATATCTATTCTTGTAGCTCTGCTGGGAGAGCTGCAGACCTTATGTCTGTTGCAGGCGTCTGGAAACTGAGGCACAGACATGTTGTGCTTGGCCAGGGACCGTAGAGCAAATAACATGGAAAGCCAGGATTAAAACTGCAGCTCCTGCAGCTCGGGCAAGTGCTGCAGACGCCGAACCTGCCTGTTCCCTCGCTCTAGAGGAAAAAGCACTGAATCTGTCATACATTTATTCAGATGAATTGGCTCGATGCTTTGAAATGTTGTTGTCGAATATTCTTTCCCCAGCTCTGGGAGGACTTCTGCTTTTGTGTGTGGTAGAGGTGTCTTTTGATACATTTTTACACGCTTTGACTTTTTTTTTTCTTTGATTCCTTATGTCTCCTGCTCTCAGTTTTAGTTCTGGGCTGAAAGGATTTGTGTCTAGTCAATATTCAGGTTCTTGTTTCTGCCCCTTTCATGGCTCGTTACAGCAGCATCTGTAAATACTTCATCTTTCTGACAGCGAGGCAGCCAACAGCGGTGACCTCAGCTTGCTTTTACATTCAGCAGTGCTCTTAATGGTGTAGGTGCTGTTGTAAGGATCAAGGTGCTAAATAAATAGCTATAAAGTGAGGAGAGAGTGGAGGCACATTCACCGCTTTGCACTGCTTTGGCTGTCATCCTGTGTTCTTGCAAACCGAAGCAAACAAAGTTATCTGGGTAACGAAGCTAATTCTGCGAACCGGTTTAGTCATGGGTGTTTCTTAGAGAAAACCTTGAAACCCCTATTAAAATATTTGCTCTAAGACATGTATGTAGGCACTTTTACCTTAAGGAGCAAGTTCATGGCTCTGCTTGTAAGGGCAAATTCTGATGTTCAGGTAGCAGCATCTTCTCTCTTCTCCCACAAAACTCCCCTTACAGGTGCATGTGGGATCAGCATCTGCTGCGGTTGTTGGCGTTCATCCATGTGCCAGACATCACTTCCCTGCAGCCTTCTCCTGAAACCTGAGAAAAATGATCTGCCATGGTTCTGCAGAAGTAGGAAGGAAAATTAAAAGGGTAGGATGGTGCCCAAAATGTTGGCATTTGCTTTTCCAGAAGATGTGTTGGGCAGTTTTGTGGTTGTTTATAATGAAGGCTTATTTTTCTGTATTTTCAAGTCCTAATTCCTTATACGCTTCTATAACTTTGAAATGCAGAGGGTAAACAATAGCTCAAATTTAAGTAAATATAAATTCTGAAAGACTTGGAATTATAGAAAGTTTTTATGTGTTAAATTGGTATATGGGAGGATTTCTTGGAATTTTCCTGGTGTCAGTTATTTTTTATTTCTCTAATGCCGCATTTAATTGTAAGCTTATCTTCTAAAGTTGAAAATCCGGATTAGAATCATTTTCCGACAATTTACGGAAATGGCAGCAAAGTGACTCAGGGGCCAGGTGGAGCAATTGACATTTTTTTTTTCCTGTTTAGGATTTTGTTTTATTGCTAGCGGCCAGGCCTGCAAACACTGAGCTGTGTGTCATTGCCTGGAGCCCGTTTCTATCCTTAAGGACCCTGAATAGACCTCTCCAAACCTTCCCATCTAACTAAACCCACTGCTTTGTATCAGCAGAGCAGCTGTTTGAACCCAGCATCTCACGGGCTCCCATTTGCATCACTCCTCCCGTAGAATCGCAGCCCTTATAGGTGAAAAGGGGCCCGTTAGGTCATCCCGCCTTTGGTAGCGCTGGATTTTTCCTTCAGGAAGCATCAGCCAGGAAAATTTTATGCTGCTGCTGCTCATTTTGTGTGTTCAGGGGTTAAATGAAGGGTCTTATTCCCAGTCCAGCTGCCTGCAGAAGTATTAAATTTGCTGCCCCTTGATGCATGTGCACGCATACATGTGGGCAGTGCACCACTTGCCATAGGCTTCCTGGGGGATGGTGAATATTCCCTAAGCTCAGGCCTGTGGATTCTGGGGGTCTGAAGCACCTCGCAGCGTTGGGAGCTGTTGGCTGGTGCTAGATTTCAAAGACAGCCAGCGTTGGAGGCCGACAGCAACAGAGATGGTATCTCCAAAGCACCTCGACCAGATGGACGGTGACCTGTTAGCACCGTACTGTTAATTACAGCGTCTGTTTTCTCCCGAAAGCTGCCAAGTTTTTCATTTGAAACCCCCCACAGCTCCAAGGAATTGTGGAGAAACTATTCAGAATCGATTTAAGTATCGCTTAACGATGTCCTCTGAGTAACACTGAATTCTAGGTTTAATTCACCACAGTTGCAGGTCGCTGCTGTATGACAAGCTGCAAGACAGTGTGTGTGAACTGACGGGTTTCGTTTTAGTTCTGTGTGCGATAATGAAATACTGCTCCACTACAGATGTCTGCTAGGAGAAGAGATGCATCAATCAAACATAACCATTAAGGGCTTTTTCCCCCAAAATGTGTGTTTAACTTCCTTTATACACTGTAGTACATGCCAAGTATCTGTTTTGCAGGGAAAATCTTCAGTGACTATATTTAATGCATTGTAGCTGTGTGCTTTTATTAAAAAATGTTTTTTTAGTGTTTCATATGCCCTTTTAAACATTTCTTACATCTCTAGCAGCCCCATTTTAGTGTGTTTTTCTACACTAAAACACAAAGACCAGCTCAGTTCATTAGCTGTCCTGCTATTATGTGATCAGCGTTAATGTTTGGAGCTTCTGAGTTAATGAAATACATATTACTGGCCTAAGAAGCTGTTTGGGACCTTGCTGTTAGTGTGGTTTGTATTTCAATAGGGGTGAAAATTAATCATTTTTGACTGCAGAACTATTGCTCAAATGTTCTGGTTTGAATTTCATATAAATGCTTATTTGAGCACATTTTCCTGCCCCAAAAGGAGAAACATGTTTAAGTTTGTGATTTTTTTTCCCCCTCCTACCTCTATTTTAAATATCTGTTTTAAAGGGAAGATATACGAGATACCATCATTTTAGGAGGGAAAAGGTAGAGCTATTAGCTGCTAGGCTACAGTGTATCCAGAAAAAAATGCAGAATTGTGGTTCTGATTTTATTAGGAACTTTAACACTGGCTTCTTTGGTGCTAGGATGTCTCTCTGAATATTAAGATGTTTTTGTGCAGAAATATCAATATCAGGCTAATTTTACTGACTTCCCCCCTGCCCTTGCAGGCAGGAGAGAATGGAAATTGAGCTATAAAAAAATAGAGATGCAGCACAGTTTGTATCCAAAATCCAAGCAGTTGATCCTGGGAAGTGCACGGCACAGAACTGCAGCCTGGATGCACAGAGCCACTTTCCGCCTTTGAGTGCAGGCAGATGGTGAGAAGTGTTTGAATTACTGTAGCATGAGGAATTGCTCCTTGCCAGGCAGCCTGCAGCAAGTGATTGCACCTTTGCCACTCATGAGCAGCTGGAGTAGGTTTTTTTTTTTGACCGTTTCTGTCTTATTTATTTATTTATTTATTTTTATTTTTTTACCTTGCTGGTTACACAACTTTGTGGTGGGACTGTGCAGTTAACCAAGTCACAAGCAACCTGGGAAAAGGACAGACTTAAACCCTGTGGTTTGCAGTCAGTTTATGTGGCTGAGTGTTTTCCAGCTAATTTTTAACTTCTTTGGTTTGGTAACTCTTATTGAGGTTGCTTCCGCAGCACAAGACTCTGCGACCTTTTACAGCTCTTTAGCATTTCTGTACCTTGGTTAAACGAGTACCTGCAGGTTAAATAGTCCTCGTGCAGTAATGAATTAAAGGGGATCTGCTTTGCCACCTTAGGCAATAGGTGGCAACAGCAGTATATCTAGACAGATCCACAGTATATTCAGAATACCCAAATTATGATGGCAATTAAGGTATGAGACCACACAACAAAGCCAGACAAAATTATTCTTGGCAAGAGCTTTTTATCCATAAGTTATCTGGAATGCACTTAACATCTCATGACTCTTTTTTTTTTTTTTGTGGATCCTCAAATTATATAGTAATTCAGTGTGTTTTCTGTTTTGTTTTAAACAGGGCAGAAAAGCTGCAGTTGCTTAACCACAGGCCTGTAACAGCAGTTGAAATACAGCTGGTAAGTAACACTGCTCCTGACTACTCGAGGCTCTCAAATAAAAGCAGCTTTAACCTTGAAAATTCATTGAACAACGACTTTTTCATGGTCAGTGATCGTGTGTTGTTTTATACACATATTTACGTTCTGTTCTGCTCTGAGACCTCCCTTAGAGACTCGCTTGTCTTTCTTGCAGACATATTCTCCGCCCTTATGTTTGCCTCAATGTTGCGTAATAAAAACGCCTAACAAAATTACTAAAAGGTTAATTACAGTATTGTGGGTAGAGAATATATTTACCTAAGACTTTCTTCTGCTGCTCTGTAACCAACTACTTCACTTGTTGGCAACTGCTGGGGAGGGATTTTTAATGCATTTAATGTTATAGTAAAACCAAACAAACTGAAAAAGAATGAGTAATGGCTGATATTGTGTTTTGAGAAGTTATATAGAATAAGAAACAAATATAAACAGGCTTTCTGATAGAAATTGTCAATCTGATAAGCATAGCTTTGATGTAAACAGAGATTGTTGATAAATAGAAATGTATGGACCAATGTATGGACTCTGAAGCATCTCTGTAGGAATACAAAGTCTTACAGCAATGAAGAGATTATTATAATACGGATGTTCTTCTAATAAAGGTCTCTTACATTAAGAACATCTGTTTATAATCTTATCCTGAAACCCAACTGCGTAATAACAGGATCATATTTTCTGCAAAGGGGAAGGATTAAAGAGGTACTAGTGGGACTGTTTTTCTTTTGTAGCCATGGAGTAGCCTGTCTGGTGCTGAAAGCATCTCATACAAGAATGCTTCCAGTCAAGGAATTAATTTTGTATTCTGTGTCTGAAGAGATCACTGTCAGTCTTGTCATCGACTCGACCAAGAGCATTAAGGCTTCATCAGTTTTGCGTGGGAAGTTATTCATAAGTGATGATGTGGAGCCTTTCTCATACCTTTGTCAGCTTCATCTGTTAGACACAAGTTCATTCTGTCCCAGTTTAGACCATATGCTGTCTCTTTTTTATTCATTTTTCCTTGAATTGCATTAATGTTTTCACTTCTTTGACTGTCTTTTGTCTGCTTTTCCCTCCTTCCATCAGTTCATTATTATCTTACCTATAGCCATGGAAGGATTGGGGATACAACTATTTCTATTGTTACACTGAGGTACCGCTGTAACTTCAGTGCAAATTTCTCTAAAACAGGTATTCCATAAACTAGGTGGAATGGATTATTAATACTATTAAATTAAAGCTCCCCAAATTGTAGTGCGTAACTCTTTCATCAAAGGACATCAAAGTCTTTCGAGAGTAATATCTGCTAGGAAATTGCAGGGTGAAATACAGAGACTAGGAGCCATAATGAGCAAATGATTTCACTTTTGGATTGCTGTCGTGAATCTCTTTGGTTTTTGCTGAGCAAAAAATGGGGGAAAGATTGCAGCAATGCAACGTCTTCGAAAAAGACAACTTCCATCCTGTCAGAGCATCTGAATATAAAATAATGCAAAGCCATGAAGGCGACGGGATATTTTTTAACTTCGATGTCAGCAGGGAGAAGATTGTCCACAAATAGATTTCATGGAGGCAAGTCTATTTACTGCAGCAAATGTATGAGAGACAACATACAGAGAAGTGAGCACTAGGTGTAAAATTGCCTTGATTCTCTTTTCATAGGGCTCCCCCCTGCCACTGAAAAGCTTTGAGTCGTTCCTGGAATTGAAGACAGAAATAAATGCTATTGAAGATTTCTGACCATTTCATAAAATGCAGGCAAATCAATCATGTCTTTTTAAAAGTCCATTTTAAGACTCCAAACAAGTCACATATCTGTGTCTGTCTTCATCACGTCACTTTGATGCTTCAAACTTTTATTCAGGGCTGCCTGTACAGAGTGGAATACAATTTACCCTGGTACATTTTTCATATCAATGGTTGTATTTACTACTGCTTGTCACTTTTTGCTTTCCTGGCTTTTTGTAGTTTATTGTCCCTCTATAAAAGTCAGTGCCTTTGTATGCAAAGAATAAATCAATTTAGATAAAATTATGTTTAAACTAAAAAGTGAATTTATATTTTAATCTCATGTTCTTTCATAAGTATTTATGCATAGATTGTGTTTTTTCATCTTTGTTCTTTCTGAACTGTGGGCTAGGTTTTATTTTCTAACAACAATAGCAACAAAATAAGCATGAAATTATAATTTATATCCCACTGGGTAAAACACTGTACACATTACAGCTATCTTGACCTCCTGTTTTAATCTTTAACATATGTTGTCCCTGGCTCAGTGATTCACAAAAGGGAAGAACGACAGTGATGTTGATCTAACCGTGATACTGGTCCAGCTTTATTTAATGCTGAATAGTGATGGGTTGGAAGATTAAGCGGCTTCTCTTCTAATGAACAAATTGCTCCACATTCCTCCCTCTCAGTGGAAAAGTAGATTTTAATTCGGTGCTTTTTAAAACCAGATTTTCATCTCAGACAGCTTTGTACCTCATGATATGTGTTCTGCATAACCTGACTGGCAGATTGTCTTTTATGGTTGAATAGAAAATAATTTAATGTATCCTTCTGGAAAATGGAAGATGTTAGAAGATTTAAATATTTTATTTTCTCAACAACATATCTTGCTTTCCACTTCACATACTTGGTTAATTATCTCTGAGTGGCAATAATCCTTTCATTCAGTCTTTTACTTTATTTCTTCTTTATGTTGTTTCTTCTATTAGTGTGCTGATGCTGAACAACTTTGAAGTACTGCTTGAGAAGGCAATAGCAGCTGTTTTCTCACAGAACGTGTACCTCCTACACTGGAATTAGATTATGTGCTTGATAGCTTTTGAAATGATCAGAATCCCATTTTCTATTTTATTATAGTTTATAGATTTTTAACAGAATCCTTAGCTTATTGTTCAAAGGAACAATAGCTTTTAACTCACAGATTGTTCTGTTCAGTGGCACTGAGCTTTGTTTCCCTTCAAATATTCCATATTCTTGAGACAGTTTTTCAGTTCTTTTCAGTATTTTTTAAGTTCTTCAGTGCTGATTTATTTATTCTCCAAAGCTTGTGGTATATTGTCTCCTCTCCTCTCTAAATGAAATAAATACTAGTCTGAAAGCTTAAAAGAAGCCCAGAGAGGATGATGAAATCTCTTGTACTTTGCTTTTATTTGGGTAAGTAGAAATGCTAAGGTGCGATTATAAGATGTGACAATGTGTTACTAAAGAACTTGCCCTTGCCTAACCGTGCAAAGAAAAGTCTAGACAAGTATGTGTGTATATGTCTGTGTACATATTGTGTGTTTTTATGTATATATGCCACTGTGACCATGCATGAATTTGCATGTTCATCTTATGAATAGTGCAGCCACCGTGTTGATTTCAAGCTGAAATCACGTTGATGGTCAGGTTACCTGTTCATCTCACATCATCACCTTCCTCATCTGCCTTCTTGATAAATGGAGCCTTTAAAAGCTTCTACAGGTAACAGTGCTATGAGAATTCATCAGCAAGGCTTTGATGCAACTTGCCACGTAATGTAGTTTTATTATTACGTTCTGATTTGGTAATTATTGTTATTTTCTGCTTCTGAGAATTTCCTACATAGTGTTTAATTTAAAAAGCTACTACTGCTAGAATGCACAGCTGGGAAAGGCTGCATGGTAATAAAGTATTCCACATACACATTTGTTTAATAAATACAGCTCAGTTCCCAGCAGCAGCCACATTACTGAGCAAGGCATCTGCCAGTATTTAATGCCGCAGCTGACGAGCAATTCATCTTTTCATCCTCTTCTAAGAGGATTTGAGGGGTGGATGGTGGGTGAGTATTTTATTTTGCTACGTTAGAAAATCCATGCATCGGTTTAACTGGAAATAAAGAACAGAATTGGCAGGCCATAAGAAATGCCATGCTGGGCTGTGATAAAGGTCAGGCTCTTCCAATATCCTCTCTGTGATACTGACCCCAATGATGGGTACTTAGGGGAGGAGAGTGGATGGGGGGTTATCCTCTTTGCATTTAGTTTAGTAAATGCTTCTTAATTTTAAGCACTTCAGCTTACAGTCCAGTGAAGCTAGCTGGACCTGATATGGACTTGAAATTGAGCAGATTCTTAAATTATAGCCAGCAGTTCTAGGTCCAGACTAATCTTTGTATCTTCTAAATAAAGACAACAGGACAGTGGCTTCAGCTGTTCCACAGCTCTGAAAACCTGGCCATTTTTATCAGTGCATCTAATACAAACACTAAGAAGCTTATCACTAAGTACCTAGGCTTGAAAAGTGTACACTAACTGCAGAAGAAACGTGCCCTTAGCTCGAAGAATTTGCTGCAAAATAAATTACAAAATGAAGTTTTGCTGTCACCTTGTTTTGATTCCTTCTTCAGCTTTCCTATAGATGATACTATTTAGAGCATTAGCTGTGGAGAACTGAAATGTGAAAATTGCCTATTCTGTGAATATATTACAATGAGAGTTTAGTAAGTGTTAATGGCTTATGTGAAAGAGAAGCTGTTGTTGAGGCCTAGCTTGACAATAAATTAATCTTAATTACATAGCTGCATTTTTTAGCAAATTTATCAATTAAAAAAAGACATTACCTGCTACAAAAATAATTTATAGTTATTTTGGGATAATATAAACTTGAATGCTGAAAAACAGGACCTTGGAAGTATTTATGAGAACAAGAAGCATCCACAACATGGCCTCTGCCTTTTTGTGTATACATTTCAAGAACATCCTTGTTCTCAGCCTTGAGAAAAGGATGTGCTTGTCTTGCTGCACATCAGGGTGCTTTTTATCTATAAACTGTGTTCTTGTAACACTGCCTAGTTCACTAGTTGTTCACAACCTTTAATATTGAAAATGTGCAGCTCAGTGGAAGCTTCGGTCGAGGATAACCTACAGTTTGCATATGGTATCTCTAAGGAGGATCTATTTCCATTTGGCTTGTGTGGCACTGCCAACATAAATATCTTATGTCATATACTTCTTAGAAACATTTGCATTTTTGTTTTCTCTAGTGTAAACTTTGCATTCCTGACTGCTTACAGTTTGAATCTGTTGCTGTAGCAGTTTCCAATTCCAAGTTAGAGGTTAGCAAGGCTTTTTGATACTTGTTCCTCTATTGGTAAAAATCTTGCTAGGAAGTTAAGTACTTGAATATAATTGTTTCCTTTTCCCTTTGTTTTCTTGTGCATAATTTCTTTTCTGAACATTGTAATATTATTCCTAGTACTATCCTTGTCTTATAGATGCAAATCAGAAGATTGTGTGAAAATCTGTTGAATCTAGAATGAGCCTGAGTCACCTTCTGTTTCCTTTGCTGTCAGTCTCCCGTTTCGTCTGCCATTTCTTTATCTACATATTTTCCCTACTTAATTTTTGAGTTTTTCATTCTGGCTTGCTGCTTTGCTGTTTCCTAATTGCTTAGGTTTTCAGAACTCACTGCTCTTGCTGTTACCCTGAGGAGTGGAAAAAATTGAATTTTATAGCTTATGGTTTTGTTCCTTTGAACTCCTAAATGGTAATACAGCAAAAAAAAGTGCTGAAATATCCCCATGAATAATAAGCTCTCCATGCTGCCAAATGTAGATTTTTGTGTCTCCGTGCTCGGAGCAGAAGCGCTGGCAGCGAGCTGCTGAGAGGTGAGCCCTGATGGGTTTGCTACAGCAGTTTAAGGAATTACCACTTCCCTCTGGCAGCGACTGCCAATCTGACAGCAGGGGACCTGGGTCGTCACCCGCTCCTCAGTGTCCAGCGTCTCGCTTGGCGGCCTCCTTCCTCAACAGCTTGGGCTGAGGCAGCAGTTAGAGCACCAGCATCTCCAAAACACGGGAGTCTCCTTTCCTTTCATCATCTCACTGGTAAAAGGTTATTTCTTAGACTGCCAGAGCAATCTGCAGAGCTCGTGTGTCCAAGTCCCATGTCTCTGTCTGCAGCTGGTCGGTGCTGCGAGCTCTTGTGTTCAAGCAGGGCAAATGCCACCAACGTGAGTGTTCGTACTGGGAGCTGCCGCGCTGCTCCTTCAGCCTCCGGAGCTCCTAGGGAGCTGGGATTAGACACTCACTTAAGCACATCCTGCCTTAAGTGCAGACGCTGGGGAGAGCTGATACCAATCCAGAAATCACTGTTTTATCTCTTGATAAATTCTGATCACATCCTTTTGTTTAACTTGGTCACCTGATGGAGTAAGTGCTTGGTGAGGAAAGGGAAAGGAGATGCCTGGCAAGGGATAACATTTAAATGTGAAAGAGCTTCATTTCACAGACTTCATGTGAGCCAGTAAATCGGATCGCAGCCAGACAAGGTGACAGTTTTGTGAAAACTTGAAAGCAGAGGGATGGTAACAAACTCATCCGGCATTGGCCCCTGCAGAATAAATCAGGCTTAAGTAATTTTGCCTGTCCAAAGGATTTGGTCTTTTTCTTTGTTAAGTATCTCTAATGTTCCTGCTGCTCTGGGGCAGTCACCTTTGGAGTGCAATGAAATAGTGATTAATAACACTATAATCCAGCCCCAAAAGCAGACTGATTGTGCCTTGCACAGTTTAGAAGCAGAGATCATTCCAGAGAGAATCCTATCCTTTTCCCAGGATGGTCCCCAGAAACAGTCACCTGCAAAGGGGTGTTTGTGGTCTGTCCTTTGCTACATAAGTGGATTCTAGTTTCCTTAATTCCTTCTTCAAGGATCTGTAGACAGTGACAGTGAAAGATGAGCAAGTTGGAAAAGCGGGCTCATAGGACACTGGAAAAAAAGAGTTTAATTGAGCATACCAGTCTTCTGGTTTTAAAAGAAAAGATACATCCACATAGCTGCCAGTTTATTGCCAGAACTCATTAAACCTGTGTTGACTTGGAACCATAATTAATATACATGAACGCTCTTCAAAGGCAATTTTAAAGGTCTTGGAATAGAAGAAGATCTCAAGCCCCACAATCCTAATTGGTTTCGCTTGCGTTTGACGAATTTGTTCGGCTTGCTTTTCCAGCCCTCTGACTAGCTTTTCCTTTTAACAGCTGCCGATAAATTAGGGCAGTTGTTTTTACTGCTAGCAGTGATGTAAGAGTTCTCACAGCTCCACAGGTCCCTGATTAATCCTAGGGAATCATACTGTTGATTCGACAGCATGTTTTGTGGTGTTCATAGGTTTTACATGCTTTTACTTTCAGGATGCTCGCAATGCAAGTAAACTCCAACAAAATATGACTGTTACAGGATCAAATGGCATCTTTTATGGCCTCATTTCTTATCTTCTGGATGATGGATAAAATGCAAAGATTTGGGCAACTGATTACAGGTTCCCTAGTTTTCACAGAAAAGCACAAGGGAAACCAGGAAGGAAGGTCTTTTCCAAGTATTTCATCTTCCTTGTTTTAAAGAAAATAAAGCCTCATTAGGAACTGCCAGTTGTTACAGTTAATGGTGGAGCTCTTTTTTCTCTCTTATTAAATATTGTAAGAGTTCAACTTGGTTGCTTTGGTAATGAGCTGTTCTTTTGTAATGTTTTACAATGTATTGTAAAACATCCGTTGAAATGGTATTTCCCTATTAGCCTAGACCTTCTGCTTTGAGCTGAGGAAGGAAATGTGGATTTGATTATTACAATAGATTATTTTTGACCTGCAGATGGTAGAAGAAAGTGAAGAAAGACTAACAGAAGAGCAGATCGAATCGCTGCTCCAGACAGTCACCACTATCCTGCCCGGGGATCCGGAAGAGCAGCGGAGGGAATCACCGATGGCAACTGAAGACAAAGGTGACCAAGAGTAGAAAGAGTCTAGAGAAAGATGGCCATGGCTTTGGCAGAAGAAGATCAGTTAATTCGCTGTTTTTATTTCATCCAGTTTAATCCTGTACTGGGCATCATTGTACAGTATGTTACAATTTTTCTTACTCAGAAGTGATGAGAGAAACAATTGTTCACAAGAAAATGTGGAAAAAGAGGCTCTTGTTTTCAGCATTTTGTGAGGTAGGAGAATGATAGTAATTTGGTTAGTAACGAAGCAGCCTGAGAAATTATGGGGTACAGAATCTGAAGTTTTGGACTTTTTTTCCATCGCCCATATAACAGCTGTAGATTTCAGTAGACTTGCATACAGCTGGCAATGTTTTAATTATCACAGCAGTACTATAATTATAATTACTTTCATATGCTTTTGAATTGCCCAACTGTTTTTTCAGATGCAGTTTGCAATATAAAGCCAACTTTTGGAGCTCTTTCCACAAAGAGCCGTTTTCAGGGATCAGTACATTGGATAATGCACAAGAACTGCTTAATATCTGTTCAAACAAGTTCAAGTCAGCTGATGGAGTCATGGAAAAGATCTACGTATGAGGTAACTGTCCTACAGGATGTCTGACAGTCTATAGGTGATAAAAGATCGATCTGAATCATCAGCTAAATCAACATATTGCCACTGAGATGCTCTGAATTAGACCAGTTTACCCCTGCTGAGCATCTGAACTGTAATGTTAAGCCTCTTAGTCATGCAAACAGAAGAACATTTAAAATGAGACGTATATTTTGCCTTCGATTTTTTTTCTGCTGTTCGAATATTTAGATACAGATGAGTCACAGTCAGCCTTGCATTGCACGTGAACAGTACAGTCTACCATCGAATAAGAAAATAAGTCAACAGTTAAGTGAAGCCTCATCTGGTTTAGAAAAAATGAGGCTCAGGCCTGGCTGAAGCAGAACTTTCTGTGCAGAAGCTTTGTCCCAGGAAGATTGCAGGTCAAGTATTTAATGTTGAAAGCATTTTTTGATTGTGATAAATCTTATTTTTATATGTATGTATGTCCATACAGTCATGTGGAAGATGGCTCTGGTTTTCTACTGTAATTGTACAGCTGTTGTAATTTATTGGAATTAGAAATAAAGTTGGAAAGACATCCTGGGAATTTTATGGCTTAGAGACAAGATATTCCAGCTCAAGCTCTTATATCTGACTTGTGTTCCCACTTTTGCAATAGTTTATTTTCTGATATTGGGTAAATAGAGAAAAATTCTCAGTGCTTTTTGTCATGCATCCATATACATTTTCTCTCTAAATATATAAAGAAGCAAGAGGGGCAAATAGATCAGATCACTCAGTAGTGTGGAATTAATTTTAAAATTAGCATTTTTACTCTTAGTTTAGCATCATGTGACCTACTACTACAAGTGTTTTTACCTTTTATCTTTTTTCTTTTTGTCATTTTTTTTCAAAATAAAACTATTGCATGAAAAGCAGAAGGAACCAGATCACAGGGTATCTGTAGCCAACAAGAATATTTTAATGGATCTCCTCCGTCGGCTGTTCCATGTTGGGAAGTGCTGTTTTTTTTTCTCATAATGGATTTTTGCCAGCATCCATGCTGTTTTCTGCTGTTTGTAGTGTACAAGATACAAGGAACTGCTCACTTCCTTTTTTATTTAACCTTTTAACAAATAAATTACAGATAGAGCCATGTGTTTGGACTCGTACAACTGCAGGTGTAGCTTATTCAGTCTCACATAAGATGCAACTATCATTTTCCTTAAAATGCTGTATGAAAAACATTTCTTTTAAGGGACCTGAGATCTCTCAATCTGCATTATGTTAAGAAATCTTCTTTAAATCTACTGTGTGTGTTCTGTGGCTGCATTAGTACAGGTGAGGTGTCCCTCTGGCTCTGCAAACAGCCCTTGCTTTGTGCTCTTTGCTCTCCCACGTGTTCTCCGGGATCCCAAGGCTTAGGAACAGTTTATGGAAAGCAAACGCCTTGTTTATGTGACAGCATTTTTCCGATGTCCCATATATTACATAGAAGATCTGCCTGGCCTCCAGGGCTCTGCTAGTTCTTCCAAAGGCAACAAGAGGGTGAAAAGAGGCAAAACGACCTGCGTAGAATAAGTCTTTTGTCACATGTGGCCCTATGCTGTCCCGGGTGAAAGAAAAACTTAAGTGCATATTAGGCACTTAAAAGCTTGCCCGAGAGCTGAGCAGGTTTGAAGGTGCTCAGAGCTGTCGGCCACCCGGGATGTCCCCTCAGTGGCTGCAAACTGCCTATGAACCAGGGAGGAGGGGACGGGCATCCCCATTCCCAGGTGGGATATCATAAAAAGGGGGTCCTGGAGCAGGGCCGGCAGCGAGGGGGTGTCTCCAGGCTGTTAAAGCTCTTTAAAATCCTCCGCAGTGGCCGGGCTGTGTCCTGGCCCACCTCTCACACGGAGGAGCCCAGGGAGCCCTTAAAACTCAAAGTGGCATTTTGTAGCCTTCCTGGAGAGAGGAAAAATCCTGTTATCCCGCTTTCCAAAGGGCTGGAAGTGAGGCACGGAGGCTGGGAGACGTCCAAAGTCCTCGAGAGAGAGAGAGGACGGCGGCCGTGTTTAGGTTGGAGCCGCGCAAGACGTCGGCAGAGAAAATATTTTCTGTTCCCACAGAAAGCAGCAGCCCTGCCACAGAGTTTTACGGAGCGAAAGGAAAAAGTTTGTGCTGAAGAAAGGGAGCGCGAGCCAAGGCAGAGCTAAAAGGTAGGGAGCATCTCCCTGAGCTCGCTGCCTAAGCTAATTCCCACTGTCCTAAGGGTCTTTATTAACTTTAGTGCTGATGAAAGGAGCCATCCCGGCCTTCCCGGGCCTGTCCGGCCGCACAGCAGCTCCTCTGACGCAGGACGTCACTGCGGGGGCTGCGGTGACGGCGCTTGAGGGATTGGGGGATCCAGAGGGGATGGAGCAGGAAGGTCGGGCAGGCGCCGCTGGCTCCATTCCATGCAGGGAAACCCGGAGCTTCTCCCGCAGCGCAAAGCGCGGGTTTGCTCTGCAGCCCGGGCTCCTGGCAGCCCGCACACGGCTTGGAGCCTTCGGGGTTGCCAGGGCCGGTCGGACAGGGCTCGGAGCCGAGCGGCATCCACAAGCGGAGGGCGACGGAGCCGGTGGCGGCACAGGCAGGGGAGGCCTGTAACCTGGTTTAATCATTAAAGCCGCTCCTGCGTCACCCGCCGCTGCAGGCAGATGGGTTTTGACGTGATTTAGCCTGAGTTTAATGGTTTGCAACTGTGAGGCTGCCCCGGGCTCAGGGGCAGTGGAGATGCCACCCACGGGGACAGGCAGACGAGGACCCGCTGCAGGTACGAGGCAGCCAAGAGCCAGAAACGCCTCCCCTGGCCCTGGTGGAGGCTCTCGCATGCAGAGCGGGGCCGACCCGCAGCTCAGGGACACGAAGGCAGCGATCTGCCCGTGTCGCCAAGACGGTGCTGCCACCACCTTGAGCAACGCAGCAGCGAGATGCAAACGCATCCAGGTTCCTGGGAAGGTTGTTGGAATGGTGCTTGGAGCGCACTGGGAAGGTGTGTTTGTGCCTATGCGTTTGCAAACAGCAGAGCAGCGGTGCCAGGGGGCCAGGCAGATGCTGGAGCGAACCCTGCTCCCGCGCGGGCTCTGCCTTTCTGCTCCCTTTCTCTTTAGGATTATTGGCAGCCACTTGCTCTTAACGGTTTCCAAGTGCAATTAGGGGAAGCATCATTTTTATTACTTCCCTCGGCCGGTGCCGTTCTGCAGGCTGGCTGGAGGGTTATTGCAGAAAATCTGAGTGTTTCTCTGAGTTTCTCTTGGGTTCGGCTCATGGCTGTGCACTCAGCATCAGCTTCCTCGCGGTGTTTTGTCCTTCCCTACCATTTCTTTTTAATTTAACATGTGGCTCATGGCAGAGAGGGATGTCAGCTGGTGCTGTGAGGAGCGGGCAGGGAGCAAAGAGATGCGGATTGTGCCTCGTGTCCGCCAGCTCCGGGAACATATTGGCTATCGCTGCGCCCATGTAAAAGGCTGCTGTAAAAACAATC